GATAATAACGAGAACAATGGCAATACTCTTTATCATCAGTTTCGCTCTCGCCATCATCACAACCATCCCGCCTCCCTTTTGCATCACCCTCCCCCATTGCCCCGTCTGCTGTTCATCGTTTGCCCCGCCATCTTTTCATTCTTTTCCCTCTCCCATCATTCCTGTCCTTTTCCCTCTCCACCCCCCCGCCTCGGGAACTGGGGAAGAGAACAGGGTGAAGGATTCCAATAAGCCGTAACGCTCCCCGGGTCACTGCTAGAACCTACTCGCGCGCGAAGCGTGCATGGTTATCGTGTTTGTTTTTAGGTGTGCATATATACGTTTATATTTATATACGTATATATATATGTATTTGAATATATTCATACGTTCATATAGTATATAGATATAAGTACCTATGCATACAGAAACCTATACGACCACCCTTCGGGTGATAAGGAGGTTCGGGGGCGGAGGAACCAACGTCTCACTCGATCGGTCTCACTATCGATCTTACTATCGATCTCACTATCGGTCTCGCTCGATCGATCGATCTCGATCGATCTCACAATCGATATCACTCGATCTATTTCATGCGACCAATCTAACAATCGATATGACTATCGATCTCACTATCGATCCCACTATCGATCTCACAACCTATCCCACATTCGGTCTCACTATCGATATCACTGTCGATATCACAATCGATCTCACAATCAACGTCATCATCATCACCGACATCATCGTCATCAACGTCATCAACATCGTCATCATCATCACCATCAGCTTCGGGACACCATCATCATCATCACCTCATCACCATCATAATCAACATCATCTCATCACCATCATCATCACCGGGGCACCATCATCGTCACTATCCTCATTCTCAGCAGTATCACCTTGGGGACACCATAATCATCATCATCATCGGAAAACCATCATCCACATCATCATGATCATCAACATCATCATCACCATCGGGACACCATCAACATCATCATCATCATCATCATCCGCATCACCAGCATCATCATCATCGGGACACCATGATCATCACCACTATGGCCATCATCGTCATCACCATCATCGGGACACTTTCATCGTCACCATCTTCATCATCAACATCACCATCATCGGGGCACCATCATCATCACCATCATCATTGAAACACCACCATCATCATCATCATCATTTCATCTTAATCATCATGAACAACATCATCAACAGCATCATCGGGATACCATCGTCATCATCATCATCACCAACATCATCATCATCGGGACACCATCATCGTCACCATCATCATCATCGGGACACCATCAGCATCATCAACATCAGCATCACCATCATCGGGCCACCACCATCAAAATCATCATCACCTCATCATCATCATCGTCCTCATCATCATCAGCTTCGGGACACCATCATCATCATCACCTTATCACCATCATAATCAACATCAGTTCATCACCATCATCATCGGGGCACCATCATCATCACCATTCTCATCATCAGCATTATCATCATCGGGACACCATCATCATCATCGGATCACAATCATCAACATCATCAGGATCATCAACATCATCATCACCATCGGGACACCATCAACATCATCATCATCAGCATCACCAGCATCATCATCATCGGGGCACCATCATCATCACCACCATGGCCATCATCATCATCATCACAATCATCGGGACACTTTCATCGTCACCATCTTCATCATCAACATCATCATCATCATCATCATCATCATCATCATCATCGGGGCACCATCATCATCACCATCATCATTGAAACACCACCAGCATCATCATTTCATCTTAATCATCATGAAGAACATCATCAACAGCATCATCGGGATACCATCATCATCATCAGCAACATCATCATCATCACCAACATCATGATCATCATCGGGACACCATCATCACCGTCACCATCATCATCATCACCATCATCATCATCGGGACACCATCAGCATCATCAACATGAGCATCATCATCATCGGGCCACCACCATCAAAATCATCATCACCTCATCATCATCCTCATCATCATCGGGACACAGTCATCGTCATCATCATCATCATCATCATCATCGGGACACCATCATCATCACTATTACCATCATCGTCATCAGCAGCATCATCAACCACATCATCATCATCATTATCATCATCATCATCATCATCGGGAGACCATCTTCATCATCACCTTCATCATCGTCACCATCACCATCTCATCATCATCAACATCATCAGGATCGTCAACATCATCGTCATTATCAACGGGACACCCTCATCATCATCAGCAACATCAGCATCATCAACATCATCATCATCATCATCATCATCATCGGGACACCATCATCATCACCACTACGGTCATCATCATCATCATCATCATCATCATCATCAGTATCAGTATCAGCATCATCATCAACATCGTCATCATCATCATCATCATCATCATCATCATCATCATCATCGGGACACCGACGGGACACCGGCAGGACACAGGCGGGACACCGCGCGGCACCGGTTCCGGGAAGGGAGATTTTTGGTCGGGCCGCGCCCCAGCCAGAGGCGGGACATGTCTCGCACGCCCACGCAGCTTCACCTCGCCCGCACGCACTACACGCACGAAAACGAAACCGAAACCGATTTCCCGGTAGGGGGGCTCTCCGTTCCACTTCGATCTCACCCCTCACCTCCGATGAATGATTATTGTTCTGTCGGGGTCTGGGGCGCGGTCGCTTCCCAGCTGTAGGTACAGAAGGTGTATGTAAGAAGTTTGCTTCGGGATGACAGAGGTCGATGTCTCCCGCCTCCGTCGCCAACGCCTGAGAAGTAGTGGTCGTCGTTGGCAGGACCAAATTGAGTATCATGCGATGTCGACTCACACGGTGGCGGTGTTGGCCATGTCGAACTAGAGTCCAGTCACGAACGTGATTCCTGAAACCGATGAAGAAAGCCTAGTGGGCCACGCTGGGTACGCATCATCTTGCCTCGATCGCTACATTTCTCATGAAAGCCAGGTTGATACATAACGCTGCCACCATCAGGCATAGGACCAGCATGCACGCAGTAAATCTACAAGCGAAGGAAAATTGCAATGCCTTTCGCCGTGCCTCTTGACGGAGCTCTTCAGCTGCGGCCCCGGCGAGGCTCCCCAACCCTTCCGCACTTCCCCATTTGCTGAATGTCGGAGACGCGCCGAGGGGGAAGTTCCAGCCTCGGGTCAGGCGACGGTTCTAAGGGTTTCCTAGCCTCGGGATGCATTCCAGCAGCGGCGCCTCGCCGAGAGCGTTCCAGGGGTGCCCGCATCGCCCCAAAACGGCCACCGGAGAGACGAGCTGATTCCCGACAGGACACGAGGCGTCCGAGAGCGGGAAAGCCTCCCGAGAGGGCGGTGGGGCTCCTTAAAAAGCCCTCTGGCCTTCCGAGAGGCCCTCTGCAGCAGAACTCGGAGAGGGCCTGGAAAGTTTCGCAAAAGGCCGCAGATTTCTGGGCCTCCTGGGACGGCCCGCCCGCTCTGCCTTCACACTTGAGCGGCGCAACAAGACGGGTCCGACTGCGTGGACAGTCGTGCATAAGCTCCCCGCGTAAGGTCGCGAGTAAGCGCATGGCGCGCTGGCGGCCCGCGTAAGCCACCGCGTAAGGTCGTCGCTCATCTGGGCGCGCCGCCAAGAACGGGCCATGGGGATCCCGCACACAACGCTCGGGCAACCTTTCCTTGCCCGCGCCCCGCTCCTCGGTGGCGCGCTCCGAGAGGCAAGCGCGGAGGCGTCCCTTCCGTGCTGAGCCCTTCTGGCGCCATGCATACCTCGTCTCACCAAGATGTCTGTTGACCAACCTTTGGAAGTGGCCGGCATCCGCGTTACAACGATACGACGATTGCTGTTAAGGTATGCTGTCCGCTCCCATCCTCTCCCTCCAAAAAAGGATCTCTTCCGCACTGACCCCATGTTCCCTCCCTGGCGCTCCCCCGCGCCTGTTTGAGGCCGCCCGCGCGCCCCTACCCCGCCGATTCTCGGCGGTCGGGCCTCCTCCCGTCGTTCTCTCCTTGTCCAGTCGTCTTCGCGCCCCGTGCCCTCGCCCGCTGGAATCGACCTCCCGCGCCTGCGACCGCCGGCGCTGTCGAGGAAAATTCCCCCCCCGGCGCGCAGCGTGAAGCGTGTGCCGCCACTTGCGGCGCAGGCAGCCGCAAAGTTTTGGATGCTTCGCTGGGCATGTGGCTTCTTTTCCTCCCCCGCTTCCTCGTCCTGTTCATCCGTGTCCAGGCCATCTGGAGAGAGAAAAGGGTGTCAAAATGCGGCAGCGATCGAGGAGCTTCCCATCCCGAAGGGGGACAAGGGCTTCGATCTCCACAAGCACGGCTGGCTCGAGAGCTTTGTTGAGGGTGCGATGTTTCAAGCGGTGGTCGCAATCTCAGAGTATCCCGTGGAAGATTTGGGGCGGATGAGGGAGGATGAATAATGGTGAAGGACGAGAAGAGGGGAGGAGGATAAGGGAGGATATGGAGGAGAAGGAAGAGGAGAGAGGAAGAGGAGCCGGAGCAGGAGGAGGGAGCTAAAGAGAAGAGGAGGAGGAGGAGGAAGGATACTAACAATGATGATATAAACATGAATGTCATACAAATAATGTCATGAAGAGCAGGCGGAGCAGGAGATGCAGGATGATGATGATGATGATGATGATGATGATGATGATGATGATGATGATGATGATGATGATGATGATGATGATGATGATGATGATGATGATGATAGGAGTGCGTGCGCAGGCATGGGGAGAGAGAGCAGCTTGTCGCTTTCCACGCCCATTCAGTTCGCTCATTGCTTTGCTCTGCAGTCTTTTTGGCTCACAGGGTTGAGCCTGCGACCTTCGGCCTGGGTCTTATGGCCGGAGGGCCCCTCCAGAAGCTTCTGCTGTTGGCGGGCCACGATGCGCTGATTCACTGGCTCCTGCGCCCCGCGACGTCGGAGGAGCACGCGTGCGGTGCCTGTGAGTGCGTGTGTCCCGCGGCGATCGAGCTGCTGTGCCCACGGCACGAGGCGGAGAGAGCGCCGGGCTCGCCCTGGCGTTCGGTGCTGCAGACCTTCGGCGCGGGGGGGGCAGGACAGCTCGTGGGGCGCGGTCTCTGGGAGTGTGGTCGGCGGGCCCGCTCCTGCTGCGGTCGCTTCCGACGCCGTGGCGATCGCGCCGCTCGCCGCCGTGGGATTGGAGTTCTGGAGTATCCTGATGCCGGGGTCTCGAATGCTGGTTCAGTGTGCCGAGGACGCCGTCGGGCACGAGAGGCGGGCATCCTGGCCGAGGGTGGGCCTCACTCGGGGCTCCAGACTCCCGACGAGGTCGTCTACCCGGAGTGCTTGGACGGGTCGGACCCCCAGGGCCTCGAGCGGGCAAACCTTCTGCTGGTGGACGAGAGGCTTCCTCGTTTGGGGGCTCAGGCGTATCGGTTCCCGCATCCCCTGACCGAGGGCGAGCTGAAGGCCGTGGTCCAAGAGGGTGCCGCAGAAACCGAAGAGATCACGCGGGCGGCTGGTCTGGAGCTGCAGCGGTCCAAGTGGGAGATGGAGCGCTTCGGCGAGGTCGAGGGGCTGGGCGAGTTCTTGGGCGGGAGCGTGCTTCCACGCCGCCTCGCTCGCCGCCCCGCGGCCTCGGGCTGGGCTGCCATGGGCGACGAGGCTCCCGCGGTGCTCCCTCCGCGCGGGCCTGGACCGCCTGTCGACGGGCATGTGAGGGGGCTGGCCGAGCCGTCCGAGATTGGGGGGGTGGACTCCGTCGTGTCGCTCGAGACGCGGGACGTGCGGACGGTCAAGTACGATGCTCTGGTGGACCGTGCCGGATATCATCGGATGACCAGAATTCGGTCGGACCTCGTCCTGCAGTTTGTGGGCGACGGGCGCGGCACGGTGGACGCAGAGCTGCCGGTGGCTGGCCTGAGCCAGCGGGGGGCGGGCCGCGCGATGACCATCCTGGGGGAGGGCGCTGCTGAGCCTGAGGCGCCAGCCTCCTCCGTCGGCGACGCCGAGGCTCGGAAGCTCTGGCTGGACTACGCCGAGCAAGGTGACGGGCACAGAGGCTTCCGCAGGTGCTGCCACGAGTTTCACGGCGTGGCCGGCCCTGATTTCCCGCTGCAGGGGTTCGCGACCGTGCTCACGGCGATGCGCCACATGGAGCGGCACGGGGGGAGCCCGCGCTCGTGGGTTTCCACCTGGGCAGGAGAGAGGCGCATCGAGGGCCCCGATCACGTGACGCACGAGATGCGGTGTCTCGCGGACATCCTCTTCCGACGGGCCGCCTACCACCAGATCAGCCTGCCGGCGCTGGAGGGGATGGAGGTGGCCTTCCGTCGGACTCAGACGATCTTCGGCGATTACCAGGTGGCGGACAAGGCGCCGATCTGGCAGACCGCGCGCTACTTCTGGGGAGCCACGGCAGCGGTCGACGCCCCCCCGCCTGAGATGCGTCAGTGCGCGATCGGGGGGGCGGAGGAGGACGCGGACATCGTTGCAGTCGCTCAGAGGGCTCGCATGCTTGAGCCGAGTCCCGACGAGGAGGAGGCTCCGGAGGGGAGCGCAGCAGGAGGATCCCGGGGGAGGGGCGGCCGAGGCCGCGGCGGTGGCGCTGAGGGCCGCGGCCGTGGCGGTGGCGCCCCCCCCGGGGCCCAATGACCGCCCGTGAGCACGGCGGGAGGAATGGGCCTCCTCCCGCCGAGACGTTTCGGCCCACGTCGGCTGCCCTGCCGCCGGGGCGGGGCTCGCGCCTGCTCTTCCCGATCCCCTTGGTGGCGGAGGGCGTCGTCAGCCGACATCACCGTGAGCGACGGGGACCTCGTGGGCGGCGGCGTATCTTCGTGGTCGTGAACCGTGCGATCCGTGCGCTTAACTGGCTCGAGGGACTCGAGAGCAGTACTTCGCTGCCGCGGTGTGAGTTCACTGGCATGCATGAGGAGGTCGTGGTGCGCATCGAAGGCCTGGTTAGATCCCAGGAGCCGACAGCTGACGCACCCTCTCGGAGATCGTCGTTTTTGGAGATGATCCGTGGCGTTTCGCTATACGAGGAATGCCGATCGAACATTGCCCCCTTCCAGTTGCGTCTCGTGTCACTGCCGACCGACGTCTCGACGGCGCCGTCCGTGTACGACCTGGTCGACCAACAGGGGCGCCTTTTTCTGGGGGGTTGTGGAGAGCGTATGCCACGTGACATCAACGAGTTTGTGGACTTGCGGCGGCGGGGGCCCGTTCGGCCGTGCTCTGATCCTCGCCTTGGTCGATCGCGTCGTCAGCACCTCCGGTTCATCCGACGCCTACATGGTATAGGGGTGCTCCGGTACACCGCGCGACCCATCGACTTCATCGGGTCTTTCTTTGTCTGGAAGAAGGGTAAGACCAAGCAGAGACTAATCTTGGACGGTCGGGCAGCCAACCAGCGCTTCGCCCGGCCACCTCACGTCGACTTGCTGACCGCGGAGGGGCTGGCCTCCATCGAGGTCTTCGTGGACGAGGACCCCGAGCTGACCAGCGACCTCGGCCGCGGTGCTCTTCGTGCACTTCGCATTGCCCTCGGCGTCGCCGATGTAGAGAACTGTTTCCACCGCATGATTATGCCTCCGTGGATGAGTCGCATGTTCTGCTACGAGCCCGTGCTCGCCGCGGAGGTCGATCCCGCTGGGCTGCCCCTGGTCGAGGGCGACGTGGCCTCAGGGAGCACCCAAGTGTGGCCCGCCGCGCGCCCTTCGCCGATGGGCTTTGCTTGGAGCCTCTACTTCTGCCAGAACGCCAACGCCAGACTCTCGGGCAGCGTGCCGCTCCTTCACCGCGCCCGCCTGCTGTCGGATCGCGGGGAGTCCGCCTTGTTCGAGACAGGTGCCCCCGTTACGGACCTCTGGCGGTACGTCTACGTGGGCGACCTCGGGGTCTTGGGCAGGGGCGCCGACACGGCGGGCGCCGCGCTCTCGGAGCAGGTTCAGGTCTTTGGCGAGAACGGGTTGGACATCCACGAAGTCGAACTCTTCACCGAGAAGGGCTCCGCGCTGGGGGTTGACCTCGATGGCTCGCGGCTTGCTACCCTTCTCACGTCGAAGCGCCGGTGCAGGATCGAGAGGGGGCTGCTCTACCTCCTTTAACGTGGCCGAGCCAGCGGGCAGATGGTGGAGAGCATCCTCGGGCACTGTACCTATGCCGCCCTGATCAAGAGAGAGACCATGGCTGTTTTCGCGGCTTCGTACGCTTTCGCGCACGCCACTTACACGAAGGACATCCAGCTTTGGGACTCGGTCAAGGCGGAGTTCGGTGCTTTCTTGGGACTGTTGGTGTTTATGCGGAGCGATTGGTGGCTGCCGTGGAACAGGGACGCCACTGCGTCCGACGCGTCCCCCGAGGGCTTCGGCATCGTGAGCTCGCGATGGTCGTTCCGTGATGTGGCGAGTGTCGGGCGAGTCCGAGAGCGAGGTCGTTTTCGCCGCGGGGGGATCGCCCCCCGGGGCTCCGCCATGACAGCCGCTGGGTTCGTGCTCGAGGACGGCGTCTGGCGGCCGCGCGCGGAGAAGGAGCTGGAGGAGGGCTGGTCCATCGTGGAGGGGTTCCCCGAGGTGCTGGCTCGCCTCCTCCATCCTGAGGGCTGGCGAGTGTGCCGTGCCGGCACGTGGGGGCGCCAGGAGCACATCACTTTGCTGGAGGCGCGCGCGCTCCTGGCCTCAGTGCGGCGGCTTGCTCAGGTCGCCGTCGGCGGCAACCGCAGGCACCTCCACCTCTGCGATGACATGGGCGTCGTGTTGGCTGTGAGTCGGCGCCGCTGCCGGGACTTCGCGCTGCTGACCGTCCTGCGCAAACTCACTGGATTCCTGCTGGCTTGCAATATTAAGCTTCACGTGAGGTGGGTTCCCAGCGAGCTCAACTTCGGTGACGAGCCGTCCCGTATCTTTTCGGAGAAAGCATCGTCGTCTCTCGCTTGGGTCATTCCCGACTTCGCGCGACGGGCGCGGCCGCCCCAGGCCCAAGCTGATGAGCGCCAGATGGAAGCGCCGGCGGACCCTTGCCGCGCTGGCGCCGCCATATGTGGACGCCCGGAACGCGGGGCCGGCGTCTGGGAGGAGGACAAGGACGGTGGCGGCGGCAAGGCCGCGGCTGCAGGGCCGCACGCTCGCGGAGAGAGGACCTCGGGGGACGAGGCGGCTATCGCCGCGCGTGCCGCTGGAGGAGCTGTTGCTACCGGGTCCGCTCCGTCGCCAGACCCTCGAGGAGTGGGCCGACCAGGTCGCGCGCAGGGGGAAAGGCGACTACGTCGAGAAGCGCGTCACTCAGAGGCAGCACACCTCGAGCTCCTCCAGCACGTACTGGGCCCGCGTCAGAGGGCCCCGGTCGGGCCGCTCGCCGAGAGACGACGCTGGCCACGCGCTCGAGGCGGCTGCTCTGGAGCTACCGCAAGAAGAGGTCCAGGGCCAAGGGCGACGGGATCACTCCGCTCGAGGAGCGGGTTGTCTCGGACAGGGTCCATCCCGAGCACAACCTCGAGGTGGTGGCTTTCAAGACCTTCGCAGCCGTGCGGGGCCTGAACGCGGGGCACGTCGAGGCCGCCGCCGTGGACGCCGTTTTCGCGTCATACCTCGAGACGTCCTTCTTCAAGGGTTTGCAGCCGTCCGCTGGGGCGAAAGCGCTGGCTGGCAGGATCCACCTCCACCCGGCCTACGGATGCGAGGGCTCCCTGAAGCTGCGCCGCGCCTGAAGGACGCTGCAGGGCCGGCGGGGGCTGTGCCCGGGGCGCCCGCTCGGGCCGAAGAGGTTGGGCGTGTGGAACGGGCTCGGGAGCGTCTCGTGCCACCTCAGCCGCCCTCGGATGACTGTGTTCGCGGTCTTGACCGCTTCGGTGATCGGCGCGCCCGAGCTCTTGCCTTAGACGCGGCACAGCAGGCCGAGCGGGGACAGAGCGCGAGGCTCGCGCCCCCTTTTAGAAGTGAGCGCGAGCCGATGGAGGTCGAACAAGAGTGTGGCTCGCTGCCAGAAGCACGTGAGGCTGTCCGACCCGTCTCACCGCCACTCGACCGTGCTTCAGGCGTACTTTCGAGAGTGCAAGCTTCGCGGCGTGGAGATCGTCCTCCACGCGCAGCTCGCGCCTCTCCCATGTTCGGAGCGCAGCTGATGCAGGACACTTACGTTGCAGACACCTTTGCTGGCCAGGGCGGAGTCGCCAGAGCTTTGCGACGAATTGGCTTCCAGGCGCGGACCTGGGAGATCGCGCACGGAGAGCGCGGCGACCTCACCTCCGCCCGCGTTCTAAGGACGCTCCTGTCAGACGTTCGACGCGGTCGGTGTCTCGGGGCGATGATTGCACCTCCATGCAGCAGTTTTAGTATTGCACGCATTCGCACGGCACCCATCCGATCCTCGTCGCGGCCGTGGGGGTTTTCAAGGAAGGAGGTCAGTTTAAAGGACTGGGCGAAATTCAAGGAGGGTAACAAGTGTTGTAGAGCTTCCCTTGCTATAATTCGCGAGTGTAACGCCGTTGGTGCCCCTTGGATTCTGGAGAACCCTTGCACTAGCTATATGTTTAAAACCCAAGAGTTCCAGCGCCTGGCCTCCTCCCCCTCGGCGACGTCTCTGAGGGTAGATTTCTGTCAGTTTGGTACTCCCTGGAAAAAGCCCACCACTTTGTTGTGCGGAAACATCCCCGTCCAGGATCTCGAGGGGCTTTCGCGGCAATGCCAGGGCACCAGGGGCGTTTGTAGCCGAACGGGTTGCAAGCATGTTATTATGTCAGGAGCGGCTCCGAGTGGCCAACAGTGGACGCATGCGGCTCAGTCCGATCCACAGCAGCTTAATCGAGCGCTGGCCCGTGCCCGCGTTGCCCCTCTGCGAGCCAGATTCTTTCAAGCTTGAGTCACATCCACTGCTGTTTCGGGATGCGTTGGGACGTATTTCGAGCGGATGCTTCGCTGTGCCTCATTTTGTGTGCTCGGCCTCTCGCTCCCAGTCTCATCGCGATGACTATGCATTGTTCTCGAAGACAGATTTCCGCAGGCGCCTCGCCAGGAAAATTGAACAGGCTCCTCAGGGCTCTGTGGTTGTGTATCTCGCAAGGCCCGCAGCCCCATAGGAGTGCGTGCACAGGCATGGGGGGAGAGAGCAGCTTGTCGCCTTCCACGCTCATTCAGTTCGCTCATTGCTTTGCTCTGCAGTCTTTTTGGCCCCCACCCGCGCCACCCTTTTCACTGTCTTATGTAGCAGGGACGTATTTCGAGCGGAGGCTTCGCTGTGCCTCATTTTGTGTGCTCGGCCTCTCGCTCCCAGTCTCATCGCGATGACTATGCATTGTTCTCGAAGACAGATTTCTGCAGGCACCTCGCCAGGAAAATTGAACAGGCTCCTCAGGGCTCTGTGGTTGTGTATCTCGCCAGGCTCGCAGCCCCATGGTGATGATGATGATGATGGTGATGGTGTTGCTGATGATGATGATGATGAGGAGGATGATGGTGATGGTGTTGCTGATGATGACGATGACGATAACGATAACGATAACGAGGATCATGATGACGATGACGGTGGCGATGACGATGACTATGATGACGATGGCGATGACGGCGATTATGGTGATAATGTAATAATAATAGTACAAATAATAAAAAACAACGACAACGATAGTATCATTGCTATTAAACATAAGAGCGATGCTACTCACATCAGCCATCGTAATAACAACATTGACACTGGTAATGATAATGATGATGATGATGCTGATGATGGTGGTAATGATGATGATGTTGATGCGGATGATGATGAAGGTGATGGTGATGATGATGTTGATGGTGATGATGATGACGATGTTGATGTTGATTATACTGCTGATGGTGATGATGTTGTTGATGATGATGCTGATGATGCTGGTGGTGGTGATGATGGTGATGCTGATGATGGTGACGAGGATGATGATGATGTTGATGATAATGAGGATGAATATGATGAGGACGATGATGATGATGATAATGATGATGATAACGGTGATGATGACGGTAGTGACGGTTTCCCAACTGGTAGACAAACGAGTCGACGTAGGAGGAGGACGAGGATGATGATGAGGATATGATGATGGATAGAAGCGGGAGGAGGAGGATGGTGATGGTGATTGTGATGTTGATGGTGACGGCGATGGAGGTAATGATGGTAATGATGGGTTTTGATGATGGTAATGATGGTGATGATGATGATCATGATCATGATCACGATGATGATGATGATGATGATGATGATGATGATGATGATGATGATGATGATGATGATGATGAGGAGGAGGAGGAGGAGGAGGAGGAGGAGGAGGAAGAGGAGGAGGAGGAGGAGGGGGAGGAGGAGGAGGGTAGGGAGGAGAGGAAGGAGCAGAGTAGCTCATGGCAACTAATCGTGATGGCGGAGCGCGAACAACATGTGAGCATATATTGCGGACGTCCGCGGACGGCTGATTTCCGACGGCGCCGGACCACCTGCCCGGGCGCCTCCAGAGCCGCCCCTGGCGCGCTTCGCGTGCCAGGGAGCACCCCAGGAGAGGGTCCGGCGCCAGCGTATACCTGCCTTCTGCGGACGTCGGGGCCAGCTGTGACCCAGGAGGTGACCCAGGGTGGACAAGAAGGGGGGATTCCCCCCCCGAGGTCATATTTGTTGTGATCGCCAACTCCATCTTCGTAAATATCGAGGCGATCGCCACCGAAGGGCAGGAGAGCGTGAACGGCGGCTGGCTGGTCACCGAGGTCGTCTTCAACGCCTTCTTCACCGTCGAGTTCGTCGTCAAGCTGGCGATCCTTCGGGCGAGGTACTTCGGGGCCTGGAACTGCTTCGACATGCTGCTTGTGTTCATGGGGTGGGGTGGTATCATCGCGGAGCTCGTCCTGGTCGGCTCGGGGGTCGGCACGCAGGAGGGGGGGCCAAAAAGATGGTCCTTCCGCACCCGGTGCTGCTGCTTCTCCTCCTCTTCCTCGTCCTCCTCCTCGGCCGCCTGGGCTGATTATGGAGGAGCGAGTTGCAGGCGGGAGAGGATGTAGGAGGAGGAGGAGGAGGAGGAGGACAACAAGGAGGAGGAGGAGGAGGATGAGGAGGAGAGGGAAGAGAGGAGCAGCCTCCTCCTCCTCCATCTCCTCCTCCTCCTCCTCCTCCTCCTGCTCCTCCTCCTATTTCCTCCTCCCTTTTTCCTCCTCCTCCTCCTCCTCCTCCTCCTACTCCTGCTCCTGCTCCTACTCCTCCTCCATCTCCTCCTCCTCCTCCTCCTCCTCCTCCTCCTCCTCCTCCTCCTCCTGCTCCTCCCCTATTTCCCTCCCTTTTTCCTCCTCCTCCTCCTCCTCCTCCTCCTCCTACTCCTACTCCTACTCCTCCTCCTCCCCTTCCTCCTCCGCCTTCTCCTCCTCCTCCTCCTCCTCCTCCTCCTCCTCCTCCTCCTCCTCCTGCTCCTCCTCCCAGGAAGCCCAGCTCACCAAGGGCGCCCGCTCCCTGAAGACGCTACGGGCGCTGCGCCTGGTTCGGCTGGTGCGGCTGCTGCAGGAGTTCCACTTCCGATACACTCGAGGCGTCGAGTCGCTGGGGGCGCCAGAAAGCCCCTCAGGAGGAGGAGGAGGAGGTGGAGGGATGGGGATGGTGAAGGTGATTGTGATGGTGAGGATGATGACGAAGATGGAGATGAAGCTGAATATTTATACGACGATGAAGATGCAGATGACAATGAAGATGAATACGAAACTGAAGAAGACGATAAAGATGAAGATGAAGATGAGGAGGAGGAGAAGGGGAATGATGATGATGAGGAGGAGGAAGAAGAGGAAGACGATGTGGGATGTTGCTGCTTCTCACGATGACGATGCTGATGATGCTGATGCTGACGCTGGTCTTGCTGAAACTAAATAGGAGGATGATGAGGAGGAGGAGGATGAGGATGGCGATGAGGATGGCGATGAGGATGATGACCTTTATGATGACCTTTATGATGATGATGATGATGATGATGATGATGATTATGATGATGATGACGACGATGATGATGATGATGATGGTGATGGTGATGGTGATGGTGGTGGTGATGATGGTGGTGGTGGTTGTGATGATGATGATGTTGTTGATGCTGGTGATGATGATAGTGGTGGTGATGATATGCTGATCCTGATGCTGGTGCTGCTGCTAAGTACGATGCTGCTACTAGTGATAATGATAGTGATGATGCTTATGTTGATGCTGATGCTGATGCTGATGCTGAGTAGGATGGTGCAGATGCTCATGATGATGCTGGTGATGAGGATGCTGTTGCTGTTGACGGTGATGACTACGATTATGCTGGTGATGCTGATGATTATGCTGCTGATAGTAATGGTGGCACTGGTGATGAGTGCCATGATGGTGGCGATCGTGATGATGATGACGATGATCATAACGACGATGACGATGATGATGAAGATGAGGATGGTGATGTTTATGGTGATGGTGATGGTGATGATAAGGATGATGATGAGGATGATGATGATGATGATGGTGATGATGATGATGATGACGGCGACGATGATGATGGTGATGATGGTGATGATGATGATGATGATGATGATGATGATAATCATGATGCTGATGATGATGGTGGTGGTGATGGTGACGACGATGACGATGAGATGATGATGAGGAGGTAGAGGAGGAGGATGAGGATAAGGATGAGGAAGAGGAGGCGTAGGAGGAGGATGATAGTGAAGATGATAGTGATGACTACGATATTGATGATAATGAGGATGAAGATGATGAGGATGATGATGATGATACTGTTGATGCTGATGATACGAATGATCATGATGATGGTGAGGATACTGAGGATGATGATGGTGATGATGATGAAGTTGATGATGATGATGATGATGGTGATGGTGATGGTGATGTTGATGATGATGATGATGATGATGATGATCATGATGATGATGATGATCATGATGATGATGATAATGATGCTGATGCTGGTGATGATGATTCCGATGGTGTTGTTGATGACGATGATGGTGATATTGATGGTGACGATGAACGGTGGTGATGGTGAATATGTTGCTGATGCTGACGCTGATGGTGCTGATGGTGCTGATGATGATGATGATGATGATGATGATGATGATGATGATGATGATGAAAGTAAGGATGATGATGATGATGATGATGATGATGATGATGATGATGATGATGATGAGGAGGAGGAGGAGGAGGAGGAGGAGGAGGAGGCTTAGGATGATGACGACGAGAATGAGCAGGAGGAGGAGGAGGAGGAGGAGGAGGAAGAGGAGGGGGAGGAGGAAGACGAGGAGGACGAGGAGGAGCAGGAGGAGGAGGAGGAGGAGGAGGAGGAGCATCAGAAGGAGGAGGAGGAGGAGGAGGAGGATGAGGAGGATGCAGATGAGGAAGGGGAGGAACAGGAGGAACAGGAGTTGGAGGAGGTAGATGAGGAAGAGGAGGAGGAAAAGCAGGAGGAGGAGGAGCAGCAGGAAGAGAAGGAGCAGGAAGAGGAGGAAGAGGAGTAGGAGGGAGGAGGTTGACGGAGGACGCATGGGGAGGGCGAGGCGGATCGATGATCCGTTTCACGACGCGAGGGGCTGAGGGAACGGCCCTTCGTCTCATCGCGCGCGCGACGACCACGCGCGGCCTGGATCGGGGAGCTGCCCCTCTCCGCGACGACAGACGCGCACCGTGGGGCGCGATGCGCGCAGAGAATTGGGCGACCTGGGATACGGTAGGTTCGTGTCTTGTCGACGCGTCAGCAACCCCGCCGCGGGCGTTCCAGGTTGAGCGCCGCCAGTGGCCAACGCGGAGCAACCTGGCGATCGAAAGACCGCCGATCGTTCAAGGCTGAACGATCCACGCGGCGTCAGACACCAGCGCGAGAGTCGCCACGGTGCGAACCTGTCGTTTGCCCCCCCCCCACCATCCTCTGAGGAGGCCCATTGGGAGGCCCCCAGGGACGAGGGGGGCAGGGCCTTCCGGGAGCCCCTTGAGGGACGCCTCCCCTCCCCTCCCCTGTGGGCATCGGTCCTTGGGCTTCTTCAGAGCGAGCGTCCTGGCCAGGATTTCGAGCCCTCCTGCCTATCTCTGCTTGGTATCGCTCGGCCGTGTGCATTCTTTCTCGGCGAGAACCATCGACGAGCATCTTGATTCGTCTGGTAAAACGTAAACGAATTTGTTGCGTCGCAGCGCGGCTGAGGCAATCTGCTCGCGCGTCCAGGCAGCCCGGGCTACGGTATTGCGAATTGGCCCGCGTGCAAGAGGAGTGGAAAAGAAAAAGGCGGCCGCGGAAGATGGGCGGGAAAGGGGGGAAGGCGCGCTCACGCGGTGAAACCACAGGTGGGCGCGCGGAGTAGCCAAGCCGGTGCAGCAGCCCCTGGCAGCGGGCGCGGGGCGGCATCACGAGCGCACCCAGGGGTGGGCCCAGCGGCTGCACTGCGGGGCGAGGCCCGGCAAATCGGGAGAGGGAAGCCAGCGCTGCGAGGACAACGGCAGTCCCAGTCACCTGAGCGGGAGCCGCTGCTGCAGCAGGGGAGGCTGCCCTGGTGAGCTGCAGTGGCAGACTGGGAGTTGGGGTGGTTCGACGGGCGACGCAGCAGCGGCGAAGGCGGTGCGCGTTCGCAGCGCAGGGCATGCGGAAAACCACGAGGGAGAAACGCGAAGAGGCCGGGCGTAGCCAGCACGGCCGTGGTGGGAGCCACGAGGCCCGGGCGACCGCGGGATCAGCGCGTGGGAGCCACGCAACAGGCCGCTGGCGGGCGGGGCGGGGGGGGGGCGGGAGGCAGCGATGCCGAGCCCAGGGCCACCGCGCGCATCACAGCCGGGGACAAGGCGGCGCCCTGCCGAAGCGCAGGTGGAACGAAGGCTCCCAGCGACAGGCAGCCGGGAGGCAAAACCGTGAGGGCACCGTGGGAACGGCACCCCCACAGTGGGGGTGGCAGAGTGCCACCGAGCAAGCGCCACCAACCCGTAGGCAAAGGGGGCGAACCTGCCGGGCCCAGTCGGCCCGCGTGGCGGCGCGTGCACCAGACCGGCCAGGGCAGACGGAGCCCCAGGCAGCGCGACGCTTGAGGCGAGCGCGCCCACGCCGGAGCGAGGGGCGCACCACTTGGGGTGGATGGCGCGCACCTCCCCGGGCACCAGGAACACCTAACCAGTGCACAGACAGGTTGGTCAGGAGCTGGGCCAGGGCCACAGCGGGAGAGAGGCGCGGCACTTGGGGTGGATGCCGCGCCCGCAGGACGGTAGGTCGCGCACCACTTGGGACGGATGGCGCGCTAAGTGACGGTGGATCCCGACAGGCATGGCGGAGACGCCGGTCTGGGCCTCGCGAGTCCTGCGCGCGCGGGGATGCCGCAAGGCTCGTCGATTAGGTCTTCGCGGGGTCCGCCGCCTGATGTCCTCGCGGGGTCGGCCGCCAGCGCTGGCCCCGCCCCGCGATTGCCCTGCGCCCCCAGTGCTCGCCGCGTGGGCACGCCCGGACCAGGACTCCGAGGCGAGCCCAACTATTGCGACAGGGGTGGCGCCGCCCCACCCCAGGGGCGAGCGCGCGATTGTTCTCGCGCCAGGTCGGCGGCAGCGGGCCCAGGTCCTTCACGCATCCACTCTCTCCACCTGCAGCTGTGCCGACAGCGTCTGTCGGTGCGCCCGCGCTAACGGGGCCTGTGGGCGCACGCCTGTGCCCGGGTGGCGCGGCCAGCGCGGCGTCCGTGCCCGGACCGTCGCGCGCCCCTCGCAGGTCCTGGCTAGGCACGCGACTAACCGTCGCGCAAGATGGTGGATCGGTGGCCGCCAGTATTTCTGGTTCTCCAGCATGACTTGGGCTGGCCACGCTGGGCCCCGACAGGCCTGGCGGCGGAGCGGGGCAGGGCCTCGTGGCTCCAATGGGCGTGGACATGCCATCGGGCTCACCAAAGGACGCGCCCGGACCAGGATTCCGAGGCCAGTCCAACTGCGGCGACAGGGGAGGCGCCGCCCTCCACCAACAGAAGCGACCAGGTCACGGAGGCCCCCCCAGGGGGAAGTGCGGCTTTGCTTTCGCGCCAGGTCGGCGGCAACGCGTCCAGGTCTGTCTTGCGCAACGGCAAATGCGGCGGCGTTGCTCTCTCACGCCGGGGTCGCACAACCGCAGAGCGAACCGGGACCTGGGGCCAGGCGCGCAACGGCCGGTCCCTGGCTGGGCCCTCGGACCACGCCCCGTGCCGGCGCCGCGGCAGCGTCGCGCCCGCTCGCTCGGCCCCCCTATCACTTTGGACAGCTGACGGCCTCACAGGGTTAAAAGCGCCGCGCCGCCTGTCCTCGACTTGCGCCGCGCAGGAAGCATGCCGACCACTGGCCAAAGTAGACCCAGCCTCGCGATGGAGCCGTTTGACGCAGTCGCCAGGTGTCTCGCCAGCAGTGGATTCCCATTGGATCAGCCCGCGGGGGCGCCTGCGCAGCCTCTCTGTTCCCCCTGCCGCGGCTGTCTCGCGGCGCCCTGGCCCATCGTCGCGCGCCCCCGCGTTTCCTCGGCTGTCGGCGGCGCCGTTGGCCGCGACCTCGACCGAGGCGTCGGTCGGCG